AATGCGACTGACGGCCGTTATATCTAGATATCTTGCTCACAAATGGCAGGCGTGAACGACTCAATGACTATCTTTTTATTTGTTTTGAGTGCCGAGTGGCTAGTAGAATGGCAGAGTTTGAAAGACCTTATTATGGCGTCATGGATGCCCGAATGACTTGCAAATAGTTACCTCAAGACAGTCTGCGCACCTTCGCGAGTGCGTAGCTAAAAATAGAAGGGTTAAGGTCTTAAGAAAGGCATGGATGTGCACTGCATCGAATGCACCAAAGATGGTTGTTTTAGTTCAAAACCTCATACAAATGTGGAATACTCTATTCCAAGGTCAGAGAGGGTAACTGACTTAAAACGACGGAGATAAACATTTTGTTTTGGGGGAATACATCTCTAGTGTAATCCTTGATGCCTACTCAAATGCAACAATCAAAACAATTTTGCACGATTTTGGCAACCATGATATTCTTAATGTCAAACAAGGTCACTGAACTTCGATGAACACCATTGACCTTTTCCTTAAAAGAGGTATCTATATTCACGGCGGTTGCATAAGGGGGCTTCGGGCACTTTGGACACCAACGTCAAGTTGGACCTTATTTGACCCGACATTCCGAATGTAACAGCCTCATGTTTTGACTCAACTGCGTCCACGTGTAAAGTAACCCACCCTGTAAATTTGGTGTCTCTAGTTTTCTTAGCTTTTTTAGATTTCAGGGGGTCAAAATGACCCCTCCCTACCCGAGCAAAGGGTATTTAACGGTCACCCGGGCACATGCTAAATCAAGTCTGGTCGAAAATTAACACCCCAAAACGTGACGAATGAAATAGCTGCTGCGTTCGGAAGAACCCTTGAAATGTACCAACCCCCACTTCGAAGTGAATATTTAATGAAAAAGTTATGAAAAACTGACGATGGAAACCACTTGACTAGACCTTTAGAGGTAATCATCCGACAATGATCAGTAAACCGACTCTAGGCGTTTCGAACATGTCTAACGTGATTATAGCATCGCAGCCTGAAATCTACCTTGCGGCTTCCTGCCGGCGTTTTCCAGTGGTAGCCTATAATAGTCGCGCACACCTACTTACACAACTAATTATTGAACCACACAAGTCCATTAGCACCTAAAGCCACATAACGTCGACCATCTGCTGGTTACTGAAACCGAGTTTTGTTCATCGGGGCCAAGAAAAAGAAGATTATTTTTGTCCCCGGCGAGATCACACACCGACCCAGAGCGAGAAAACGTGTCTGAAAAACCATCTCATCAGCTAGGTAAGGCATCTGCTCCCAAATTTTGAGAGAAAGGTAGGTTGCAGTCCGGGTAAAAATCCGTGTTTAGTGTGTTTTGTGGGCAGCCTTAGCTATTTTCTCTGACCAGCGTCCCAAATCTGTTCCGCTAAACTACACCCTTGTGGTGGGCGTTTAATGGCCGTGACACGAGACGGATTTACCACCAATTTCTTTACCGCCCAGCCCACGTTCAAAGTGGAAAGTGCCTGAGTCAGGAGACAGGAGGTTCGAAAGTCGGTGGACGGTGATCGGGGGCTTACACCAGCTCCAAGTGGCGGCAGGGAAATTTTCAAGGACGCCGACCGTATTGAAGACAAATTAAAAACTTGAATCGTGTTCTCGCATCACGCATTTCGCACAATATGATGCCGAATAAAAAACACTGAGATTCACAGAGCTGCAATCTCAGATTTAAGAGCTGTTGTGTTTATAGCATATAAATCTGAAGCCTGCTATTTTTAGAGAAAAAATCCATAATGTATGGATGCACTTGTTCGAAATTCCAAAGCACCAGGAGGCATATCATCGAGACAACAATCATCGAGAAAAAAGAGACGAAAAGAGCATCAAGCACACGAAAAGCAAGTTTAAGCTTGCCCGGAAAAGTGAAGGCTCTCCTAAGTATTCAAAAGAGTAAATCGAAATGAGTTAAGACATGAAATTATACCAACCTTTGTTGCCTGGGAAGGTTACTCCTTCTCCAAAATCGACTAGTGAGACCAATTATAAAAATTGAACACGTGCTCACAATCATAGGAGCAAGAACAACGACGGTCCAGGGCTGCAGCTTCTATCAAACTGAGCAGGCGTTAGCCGCTGCAGATAACACCAGACGGCGGGCACCGGGCGCGTTGTGAAGCAATCCTTCCCAAAGTCTTTCAAAACCAATTTGTATCGCTCGAAGATTACACTGATATGTACATTTCAGCGGTATCACTTTGGGATTGGTTGACCTCTGAACAGCTCAAAGATTACGGCTAACAGGGAAATGGAAATTTTGCCTCCACTTTTCCAGCTTGCCCACCAGATTCCAGCAGGGTTTTGCAGCACTTCCAATGCTAGTTCGTTCTTATTGGACAATCTAAAGCTTGTGCAGGCGATGTGTTCGCTTGGACTGCCTTCGAAACGTACTGATTTGTGTTTTAAAGCGGTCAAAGGCGTCTCTTTCAGACGCGTCATCGTTCCTGTCCGCCGTTGGCCACCGTCCGGTGTTCGCCGGGGAAGAGACCGGCACAGTGCGGCCTACGGAGACTGCATCACCGGAAGTCGGGTTCTGTTTCTAAGGCTTGCAAGCGCGCGCGCGCTCATCACCACCTGATCTAATTTTATTATTCTGAAGGCAAGTTAAGCATTCCCAGGCTCACGAGATGTCAATGTCAATACACAACTCTGATTCCGTTCGGATTTACAATCCATGTTCACGAAGTCCTCAATGCCTATCGCTGTAGGGGAAAAATTCCGACGAAACCCCTGGGTACCATCAGTTAACAAAGAAAAACATGAACACTGTAAGAGAAACATCAGAAAGTAATGAAAAAGTTGCATTCTGTGTAGTTATTTAACGCCCGTCTCCTTCGGGTTTCTGAGTTGGAAATACGAGCAGGCCTACACCTTCCGGTGGCTTCCGACTTCTATTGAAGTTGAATCCGGTGAAAATAATAATAAAGCAAAGAGGAGTACGTTTGAAAAAAATTCCCTGGGGGCAAGTTGGTTAGCACTGTGCCGTTGAAAATGGTCATAGGAGATCTGAATCACTTAGCAACGCCTGCACCACCGTTTTCGGCACTTTTTCTTTCAGCGTAGGCCTACTGTGTGAAGCGATTGAAAAACCGATTCCCATTAATATCAGTAACATTTATGAGCCCTTAATCTTCCCCGTCACGTGCATTGTTGCTGCTCGGCTGCTTTCCGCACGGTGACGCCGTAACGAAGCTGCGCCGGAATGAAGAGGCACCTGCTGGCGTGCACAGCCCGTTATGTGGAAGCTGGGCCGACTCGTGGCCCGACTCACGTGCGTCAAGGTCGGCCGCTGACCCTTGGCCGTCGTATCGCGCGCCACCGACTCCCGATTACGGAGGTCAATCACACCACGCAGCTGTCGTAATCACGCCGTCCAAGAGAAAACGACAAAAAACGGCGGAGCCGCGGGCCGGTGACCGACACCGGCCGGGCCGCGCCGTGTCGGTGTCTGATCTGCTGCGATCAGGGGGAGTCGGAGACAAGCTTGGCAAAGCGTCAGCAAGCTTTCGCCGAGTCAATTGTCAAGCCGATCCCTCCCCTCCCCCGAGGAATAGCCATGCTCGCTGAGCCCATAACTCAATCGACCCGCAAGAGCCATCATTATATAACTAGGCCGACGGCGTGGAGGGCAGACAGCTTGATATTCGTAACTCAACCACCTAAGGCGGTTAACGACACCAAGCCTGCTACGGCAAACCGCAGAGATAAGGCTGATATCCGCAAATACCGATCGGAAGGATTACGCAAGATCCGTGAGTACTTATTAGTACACCAGTCTATGACTTGTGGTCGAGCGTCACAATCCCGGTGACAGCCACTGCCGGGTGTGCCAAGAATATCCGTGCCCACGTGATTAGCGCCGACAACCTGTCCCAAACGCAGCACGGGAAAACCCTGATTAATGCCCGGCATCATCAGCCAGGCTTAGCAAAGTAAACCTACCGTTGCAGACAAACGATCACCTACCCGTCACAAATTGCACCGTAATTGACACCAACTTTAGTAGCATTCGTGGTGCGGACAGATGACTGAACCAGCACCACCAAGGCAGCTGCAGTTCCTTTGCACCATGCGGTGGCGAAACGGGATATGACGATAACAAATCCCACAAGATCAAGACGAACCAAGTGCTATTTTCGCCGGTGCGTAAAATCCGCTACTGGACATTAGCCACGGCCGGTTTCATTCCATAATCGGGCTCGGTGTGTGCGGTGCCACAAGAGGAGACGGGCCTCGCATGTCCAGAGTGCCTGGTGCCAGCGCCGCATGTTCCTCAGGCGGCGCTCGAAGCGGTGCCTCTCTGCTCTCCAGCCGCTCCCGCTAAACAGCTGACACGTGCCTGCCCCGCCAGCGCCGCCGCCGGCTACACCCGGTTGCTCGCCCCTCCGGCGATAGCTCATCGCCGCCCGGCCCGCTGGTCCGAGCGGTGCGGCGCCGCGCCTCATCTCGGCGGGGCCGGGCTGCTGGCCGGCGCGCCGCTGGAGCCCACGCTCGCCGCTGGTGCCGGCACGGCAGCCGGTGCCGCCCACCGCTCGGCTGGCGTCTGGACTGACCTGGACGGGGGCTGGGCGGCGGCCTGCGGCCGGCGCTCCTCCATCAGCACGGGCCCGCGGGCGGCCGTCATGCCTCGCCGGCGGCGCGCGACTCCGAGAGCGACCGCCGCTTATCGCGACCCTACCGGCCGACGGCGGGCTCCGGCGGCGGCCGACAGGGGCGCCGATCGCCGCCCCGGCCGTCCGCCCGGCCTGACCCGCGCGCCGGCCAGCAGGCGGCAGACGGACTCGACAGCGGCGCCGCCGTCGCCAGCGCTTTATCGCGCTGTCGTCCACCGTTCACTGCCCCCTGATCCTCTTGCTGGGCCGTGAGGACTGTTACCACGTGTCCGTCCTGCCCTTCCGTCCGCGTCCGCACGGGCACAGGAGCGTGCAGCGCTTCCTGCACAGCGCAATGCCCAGACTCCAAACAAAGCGCACCCGACTGATGGAGCCGTGTGTATTGCGCACTCAAGGCGTACATAGCACACACCAGAGGGCCGGCTTCAACACTCACCGCCCAAAGGCCAGGAGACTCGCCCATCCATCGGAGCGAGACCTCGGAAACCACCGCAGCTGGAGAACCCACGACCGTCGACAATGGATCACAGACGGATGGCTGACCCCCGACACCAAATCAGCTGAGTAAATTGACCAGACGTTACACGGTAGCTCCCTACAGGCGGCGGCGGCGGCGCGGGAGCCAAGCGACAGCCCGCGGACGCCCGCTTCAGCAAAGCCGGCCACCGTCCGCGTCCGCCCAGACACTATGTGTTGTCCTCGGTCCTCGGTTCTCGGTCCGCTCTCGGTCCGCTCAGCCCTCGGTTCAGTCCGCGTTAAAGCACGCCGCCTCAGCGGGCAGCCACAGCCACAGCTTCGCCCGGCCCGGGGCCTGACAATCACCCACGCCACGGCGGTCCGGCTTCAGCCGCGCACCCGCCGCCCGCCCTCGCACACGCGCGCGCCGAAGCCCCTACTGCCAGCTGGGGGCGCGCCGCCGGCACCACTACCGCCGCACGGGGCGCGCCCCTGCCGCCGCTACAGACAGTCGCGCCGTCTAGCCGGCCTCGCTGAGGAAGCTGTCGGAGAAGACGCGCAGCTCGCTGGCCACGTAGCTGGCCTTGTTGCGCAGCGTCTTGGCGCCGGCGGCCAGCGCCTCGAGCTCCGCCAGTCGAGCATCCAGCTGGGATACCTCCTGCTGCATGTCGCGCACCGTCTCGTCCACCAAGTGGCAGAGGCGAGCGAACGTGCTGGACAGCTCCCTGGTGGCGGCGAGCGCCTGTCAGCTGATGATAACACGCGGAGGGGGGGGGGGGGGAGTCCACAGACTACAAAGTGTCACGGAAACGGAGATGGCAGACGCGCGCACGCCACGCGCGGGTGCGCTGCGAGTCCAAACAGCTTACGCTCAACGACGCGACGGTACTCACTGCTGAACCTGGTGGCTGCAGTTGGAGGACGTCAGGTCGACGATGAGCCGCAGCTTGCGCGTGGCGTGGTCCACGTACTGCTGCTTGAAGCGGCGCTCGCGCACCTTGTTGGTGTACGTCAGACGCTCGTAGAGGTAGAGGCAGCCGTACACGCCGGCCGTGACGGCGATCAGACGCCAGCCGACCGTCTTCATCAGCTGCGGCAGCCGCGACGGAGGGGTCAGCGAGCAGCACCGCACATCGCCAGACAACCACCCTCAGTCCGCACCACAGGCGAACCATGCCGTACAGTCGGCCGGGTTCGCAGCGACGCCCGACACCCTGCTGGGCTCACAACGGAAACGTCTGCCACTAGACGAGCCGAGGGCCATCACTCAGCAGGCGTCGGTTCATCGCGGGAAGAAGGCTCCGAGCATTACGCGAAAGATCAACTCCGACAGAATTCGACGCGTTGGCGTACTGGGTCACACGAGCACCACGACCCTGACGAGGTTGCAGACGGACTTCAGCTTACAAATCCGGCCACCAGGAGGCCTCCGACGGTGCCCTGCGACGTGACCGAGGCGACGGCTATGTTGTTGAGCAGCGTCCAGTCGTCGCGCGGAATGACCGACTTGTCCGGCTCGGGGCTGTGCGGCGTCAGCGGTACGCCGCGCGGCACCTGCAGCACACCGGCACGTGCAGGCGGCGACGGTACGCGAGCATCGGCGGCGCACGCAGCGCTGCGCAGCGGCGTCACGGCGGCATGGGCGCCCGCGGCACACGCCAGGACCGTACAGAACAGGGCACAGGCGATCAGAAGCCCACGACAGACTATCAGTTTACAGGAGAACAGCCCAGGAGCAGCGGTACAGCGGTACAGCGGGGCGGTGCCGCAGTGAGTGCCCGTGATGCCGGTATTCCCGGACACTGGCCTGCGGGGCGCGGCCGGAGACCGGCATCGCAAACAGGCAGAGACATCGGCCAAACCACACGGGAGTCTGCCATACGGCGCCCATGATGCTCAGAGACACATACAAAAATAACTCAAATGGGACACACATATCTACGGTTCACGGCCGTGAACGGGAGGAGCAACAGGTCATGGCGAAAAAACCCGCACTGAATGAATGAATGAATGAATGAACACATGAATGAATGAATGAATCCATGAATGAATGAATGAATGAATGAACGCTGATATCCACACTGATGAATGACATCACACATCGGCGGGTTTCTCAGGTCGTATCTGGCGAGGAGGGGAAGGTGGCGGGGAAGGGGCCGCGGTGGCCGACTCACGGGCTCGACAAATCCCAGCATGGTGACCCGGTTGCCGGCCGAGCCGAGGAAGCGGCGCACCAGGGACGTGATGCCCAGCGTGAAGCGGAACTCGATGTTCTCCTGGCGGCGAGGCGCGCCGTTAGGCCGACACCGGCACCGGGGGCGCGCCGCCGCGGCCGGTCAGCGGCGGGCGGCATCAACACGGCTGGGGTCACCTTCGAGCGGACCGGCCGGCGGTGACAAAACCCTCTGTGACAATGGCGCTCAATGCAGGTCCCGTAGTGTCAGCCCGCTCGCCCGCCCGCTCGTCCGCTCGCTCTCTCGCTCCCTCCCTCGCTGCGGACGGGTGCCGCCCCACGCACCTGGAAGTCGGAGCACAGGTTGTCGCAGTTGAGCCGGTAAAGCACCTGGAAGGGCTCCCGGCGCGGCAGCAGCGACGCCACCAGATGACGCTTCTCGTCCGGTACCAGCCGCGTCATCCGCTCTGAAGGTCAGACCAGGTCAGGTCAGGTAGAGCCAAGTCAGGTTAGGTCACAGCAGACCGGAGGGGACTGCTGGGTCTGGCCTTATTAACACCATCGGGTCAGGGAACGAGCACGGACAGGTGGGTCCATCCACACTCAACGGAATCGACGACAGCACAGCCTCGCAGATGATGAGTCTCCAGCGAACAGGTCACTCAGACAGCACCAGCGGACATGGAGGGGTCAGGCTCTAGGCACTCTGGGTTACAGGCACACGTACACCCTGGGTTACAGCTCTCCCAGCCGCAAAATACCAGAAAAGTTCACGCCTATGGAAAGGGGAAAACTACCCAGCGGGGGGCATCGCCACAGGCACCCAGTGTTATCACAGCTCACAAACTATAACAGCCTACCGTCCTCCTCCTCCCCTGCCCTCCTCGCCCCCAACCTCCCACGGGAAACGCCGTCGGGGTGGTGCAGGAGTGCCTGATGGTCGCAGCGTACCACCCTTCAGGAATGAGTACTGTCAGAAGGCAGGACGGGCGGCGAACGCGGACGAGAGGGCGGACAACCGGTGCCCGGGGAGAACGAGTCCTGTCAGGAGCCACGATGAGGCGGCGAGCACGGACGAGAGGGTGGACGACCGGTGCCCGGGGAGAACGAGTCCTGTCAGGAGCCCCGTTGAGGCGGCGGACACGGACGAGAGAGTGGACAACCGGTGCCAGGCGAGAGGGTGAAAGACCAGCCCCCGCGAAGAAGAAGTCCTGTCAGGAGGCAGGATGAGGCGGCGAACACAGACGAGAGGGTGGACGACCGGCCCTAGCCGGGGAGTCCTGTTAAGAGGCAGAATGAGACGATCAACGTGGGCGAGAGGGTGGACGGCCGATGCACACGAAGAAGGAGTCCTGTCAGGGGGAAAGATGAGGCGGTGAGCACAGGCGAGCGGGTGGACAACCGGCCCTAGCGAAGAGCCGACTGACGCGTCATATCCTTCTGGTTGGCCTCAATGTTGGAGGCGACGGCGTCCGACAGGCGACTCTTGAGGTTGAGGCCCAGGCCGGCCTCCACGTGGTTGTGCAGCTCCTTCTTGTACACGTTCACCACCAGCGGGTCTGGGTGGAATGGCGCCGAGAACTCGTCCACCATGACCGATAAGCGGCGGATCTCTTCACTCAGTGCTACTGCCACCTGTCGGGACCATTGCGAAGCAGAAGTTATCTCGCATACCGTGAGGTTCAGCGTTCGGTATCGGAATCCACGGCAAGGGAGGACAAACGCGACGAGTACCGCAAGACAGTTGCTAGTCACATGATTATCACAACACGCACAGGGTTTTTTTATTTAAAAATATCACATCCTGTGATGGGATGGGAGACGTTTTCATTGGCGCACCAGATACGGGGGGAAGTAAACATTTGCTCACCATTTGGTCCCGAGCTTAGCTGAAGATGGCATAAAACTTTCCGAAAGCACGCAGTGGATGTGTATACAGACTGCCAAATATCGGAGTTGGCCCCAGCAGGTCAACTAGTGACGTTCAACTGGGCCAAGTATAACACACAACACAACTACCACAATGTTCATACAGCACGTCGCTACATGCTCGAGAACAATTGAGAAAAGACATTACGTTCTTCGAAACAAAACATACACAGACCAGGGACCTAAAGTGACTTTGGGAAATTGCAACTGCAAAATATGCGCAATGCATCTAAGTCAAAGCAGACGACATGCTAGAGGCATGACAAACTCAACAGCATTATTGTTAACTGCTTCCCTTGGCTCAGAAGGGGCAAATGAGGTGTGAGATGTTGCCAACTGCCCTCACCCCACGCGGATCACGATGAAGTCAGGATCGACCATCGGTGGCGTGGCGTGGCGTAACGTGGCGTGGCGTGGCGTGGTGTGTGGCGTGTGGCGTGGCGGCGTGGCGTGGCGTGGCGTGGCGTGGGTGGCGTGGCGTGGCGTGGCGTGGCGTGGCGTGGCGTGGGCGTGGCGTGGCGTGGCATGGCGTGGAGTGGCGTGGCGTGGCGTGCGTGGCGTGGCGTGGCGTGGCGTGGCGTGGCGTGGCGTGGCGTGGCGTGACCCCCGCTGCCCGAGCGCGCGCGCATTGCCCTACCTTGCGTTCGACGTCCTCAGTCATAGCGTATATTTTTTCCTTCATCACGCCGGTGATGAGGTTCAGCTCCTTGTCGGTGAAGTTGATGCGGTCGATCAGCCGGCGCCGCGCGGCCGTCTGCTCCGCCTTCATGGCCAGCGCCCGCTCGTACAGGCCATCCATCATGGCCTGCAGCGCCCTGTCACGGACGACGCGCGGCATCATCGACTGTGGAGCCGCCGTTGGTGCCCGGCCACACCTATACGCTGGCCCCATGAGCTCCAGAACATCCGAGCTCAGGTCCGAGGTCAACAGCAGCGACAGCGGCGGCGCTCTCACACGAGATGATCGGGGTCTCAGGCGGGAAGCAGCCTCCAGCGGCTCTCGGCAGCATGTGAAACCACACAGCGGAGAGTCGGTGACGGCGGGCCGCTGGTACCGCAGCGTGCGGCTTCAGGCTTGCGAGGGAAGGGTCACGGGTCCGACACTCAGCACCGGAAGCGGTTCCAATGTCCACCCCGCTGGGCGTGCCAGTCTCCCCACACCGGTGACTGCACAGTGACAGTACAGCCAGGAGCCCGGCTCGACATACCCGGTGATGGAGGTGCCGCGCTGTGTGTGCTGCTGGAACTTGGTGCGCACCGCCGACTGCGAGATGCACTCCTCGAACCGGCGTTCGAACTCCTGGAACTCGAAGTAGCGGCTCTGGAAACCCTCCGCCGGCACTGTGGGCACGGTGGGCGACGTGTGACGCCGAAACTGGACGCCACGGCTGGACGGCCGCAGCAGCCACACTCGCGTCGTTATCAGCTCCAGCGGTAGCCAGCACAGCGGCCCGTCTAAACACAGTCACTCCTTGGCTGGCTGTGAGCATGACGCTGAGGCCTGGCACCTGGCAGTGCGCAGCTGTCCGATCCTAAGTACGAGAGCGTCACCGTCTATGCGCCGGTCTGTTTACCGGGTCGCGGCGGCGCCTCCTCGCGCTGCTCCGACAGCCGCTGCTGCAGACACTCCTTGGCCGACACGAAGAACACGCGCTGCTCGGCCTCGGCCCGGGACGCCACCTGCAGCTCGTCCGCCAGGAAGGCCACCGTCCGCTCCAGGTGCTGCTGCCGCACCTGACGCACACCCGCACACAACCGCGGCGTCAGTACCGCACACACCCACAGCGTCAGCACCGCACACATCTGCAGCGTCAGCACCGCACACACCCATGCGTGGGCGGCACCCGCACCCGCCACTGAGGCGGACAGTGGTGCTTCCGGCCCGCTGGACTGGCGGTCCGAACAGGCGCCAACAGTCTGAACAAACTGACACACGACACTCGTCCAACTAGGCTGACCGTCGCAGCGTAAGCGTGTCGTCCACACCAAGCTCATGCCAACACAAGACGTGAGAGCCAAAGAGCCAGGTGTACAAAGCGCATATGCATCCTACTGGGGACGACAGTTCGGCGACAGCAGGTCCAGCCGGCTGTCGCCCGTCTGCAATTAAGCCCAGGCATAGGAGTAGTTTAACACCACATATTTTGGTTTTCGCAAGTTGGCACTTCAGGAAGCATACTTGTGAAACATCTAAGCAAATCCATCGCCCTAAAAATATAAACCGGCTCCAAAAATTTTCATCGGCATATTTTCGAGATACTTGCAAAACCACTCCCCACCGTACCTTCAATGGACAGGCAGATGGAACAAAGATAAAACATTTTTTGCACACGTTATGATGGACGTACCAAGGGATTATAATTTTCTCAGGGGTGCCATGCAGAAGGGAGACATAGAAGATATTTGGTATTTATTTTTTAGCTTCTTCAAGACTTGCGTTCCTATTACTTTGATGTTTCCAGTAATTTTAGATTATTACTTTTTATAGTTCCTTCCTTCCAGATGAAAATACTACCATGAGTGATGTCACGGGAAGGAATGGAGAGGGCCGAATGGAAAATAGGCGCTATACTCTCAGCCCCCGCTTCAATGGACAGATTCACATTAATTCGGGAAGAAGGCGCATTTATATGTACTGACATATCTGGTGTCAATTTTGCATTCATGTTTAGGCTCAGGACACATGCGGAGTTCTACCGAGTGCCATGGTGGCCGGGCTTGTGACAAATAGTAAAGGTGCGCCTCATGTTTACGACGCACGCCTTTACAGTTAGCCATATATTATATGGCATATTTTATATGTATAGGCTGCTCTTTCTAATATACTACACATTTTCCTATACTATATGTCATTATACTATGGCAAACTAGCGTACTGTTGCCCATACATTAGACACGCGTCACTGTGTTATATCATCATCTTTAGCAAGGACGCCTTAAGTCCTAGAACTTTTTTTCGATGTTCCATTGAGCCCTTCCATAACAGGCACAACAGCAAGCGGTTTTTGCAGCGATTTGGAAAATATGACCATAAAGAGGTTTTTGGGAGCCGATTAAGCAATGGGAATGACAGATGCGCCTAGATATGGCCCAAGTATAACCCCCCAGAGTGTCACTCGCGACAGCCGACATTGCCGTGTTAAGCTGCCCCGCGCCAGGCAGCTGGTGACCTGTTCCCAGTGGTAAGCCTCTGGCTGGCGCCGGCTGTGCCCTGGCTCGGCGGCTGGACGGAGGTCACCCTCGGTCACCTCGGTGGTTACTGGTTCAGGAGCAGCAACTGCACAGGCCGCTGACTCCGCGACCACAGCCACGCTACGAGGCGCTCAAGTGAGGAGGGCTCCTTTACGAAGCGGCGTCAGCACGTTCACTCCAGCGGAACGGCACATTTTAAATCCGGAAAATATGCTTCTTCACATTAGTTAGTTTTGGTTGGACGATAACCGACAGGAGAAGAACCAAAGCAACAGTGATATGTTTGCTCATCCGTGCTGGCAGCAGACTGTCTTTGAGAGAGTACGTGGTGCGTCAAGCCGGAGGCAATCTCGAACATGACGCAGTGGGGCTTCAACCGTCGGCGACAGGGCACCGCGGAGTGGAGGGGACGCCGTGACGCAGTGGGGCTTCAACCGTCGGCGACAGGGCACCGCGGAGTGGAGGGGACGCCGTGACGCAGTGGGGCTCCGACCGTCGGCGACAGGGCGCCGCGGAGTGGAGGGGACGCCGTGACGCAGCGGGGCTCCGACCGTCGGCGACAGGGCGCCGCGGAGTGGAGAGGACGCCGTGACGCAGTGGAGCTCCGACCGTCGGCGACAGGGCGCCGCGGAGTGGAGGGGACGCCGTGACGCAGTGGGGCTCCGACCGTCGGCGACAGGGCGCCGCGGAGTGGAGGGGACGCCGTGGCGCAGCGGGGCTCCGACCGTCGGCGGCAGGGCACCGCGCAGTGCAGGGGACGTAGATCTTTCCCGGCCGCGCGAGAAGTAGCACCACACAAATTATCGAATGCACTGAGCATTGGCCCATACATGGCAAGGTAAGTGTACACCCTGACCACTTCTCCCCCACCCGGGGTTTACAAAGTTTCGCCGAAGATGAGGGTTAGCATCCAAACTACCGTGGAGCAGACTTCGTAGCGACATGCCAAGCAAACCACCATGCATAACACATTTTGCTACGAAGTCAATGGGCATTTTTCACGCGCCTTATTTTCTGCATTTAAACGCAACTCATTTTCTGCTTTTAAATGCAACACACTTTCTGCTTTTAAGGCCGATGTTGCACATTCCATTGTCATGCCCGGTGCCAAATTACTAATGCGTTCTGCCGACAGCTAATAAACAGAACTAAAAACCGCCCGCCCGACACGACACGTTGCAGCTGTCACGCTAAAACTGTTCATGTGAATAATGGCACGGTCAGCCAGGCACAAACACATTTCACAAACGCAGCCGGCATCTGAGGTCAGTCATGCCCTTTGAGCGGACCGAGCGCCGCTCCATTAGCTTTCTGGGTGGATTGCCGGCCGGGCCGTCAGCGACACCTGACCTCACGAGCCGGTCCACGGGCGGCGCCGACATGACGTCAGAGTGGCGCCGCCGCCACGCGCCGGCCGCGCCTAATGATGGCATCACGGACCGCTCAGAGGCCCTGCGCGGCCCGCACGCCGACGGCCGTGTGAAGGCGCTGCTGGCCACGGCTACCCCGCACCGCATGCAAGAGGCACGACGGCTGGTCCAAGGTCGCCAGGTCACAAACGGCCCTGCTGCTCAAAGGCCCTGCGCGGCCCGCACGCCGACGGCCGTGTGTAGGCGCTGCTGGCCACGGCTACCCCACACCGCATGCAAGAGGCACGGGGGCTGGTCCACGGTCGTCAGGCTACAAGCGGCCCACATCGCCAAGTTCGCGCCGAAAATCGCTACGTTTGGCGCCAAGTCGACCGTGAACCTCAAAGTTCCCGTTACTCGTCCATTTTCCGCGCAATTATCTGTTGTATGTGAGCACATATTCTAGTTGTTATAACTATGCGTAATGCTGTTATAACTAATGCGTGAATGCTGGCATACAGCCCAACACCATTCATTATCAGCATTTGCAGCGAAGGCGTTTCACCCGAGGATTGCCGGCCATGCGATTTAGGTTATAGGACCGTTCATAAATTATGTTGCGGTCTTCTGATTGTTCCATTCCATATTTCAACCCCTCCCTCTTCGCTGGTTAGACACCGGTTGCGTTGGGCGAAACAGCCCTCGCCCCGCTACGGCGTGCAAGCGAAGCGTCCCAGAAGTGTAACGTTCGTTTCGCCCCTTGAGCTCACAGTGCGGATCAAGGACGGGGATGTTGCTGGTCGTAGAGGAAACCAACAGCATCCGACGTTGAAAATTTTAAAATATCTTACGACTTAGCATATTTTGAAACCACACCTGAGCATGATGCTACGCCTATCAACCCCTGCCCATCCATGCGTAACGCAATATAGGGACGACTCCACACGATCGAGGACTTCTGTCCCGTGACTCTGGTTTTGAGTTCGTGAAAAAGCTCGCTGTCTGAACTTTGCATAAAAGGAACCGCTATGCACGTCGCCACGTCTCTTTTATGGCAGTGAGAGGCTCAGATGACTCAGGGACTCCAATGCTCAGGGACAGGGACTCCAAGGGTCGTATTAGCGCTCAGGGGTAATGACACAACCGGGATATGAACTCGGGCCCACAAGCAGAAGTCCGTCGCGCTAACCCCTCGGCCGGCACTCACCCAGCTGCTTGGCCCAACTGCTATACAGTGGCCAGCTGGTCCTGGCCAGGGGCGCATGTCGGGCCATTACTGCCCCAGCTGCTTGGCCCGGCTTTTATACAGTAGCCAGCTAGCAGCTGGCAGGAGGAGCAGCTGTTTGGCCCAACTGTTATACAGTAGCCAGCTAGCAGCTGACCGGAGGAGCAGCTATTTGGCCCAACTGTTATAAAGTAGCCAGCTAGCAGCTGGTAGGAGGAGCAGCTGTTTGGCCCAACCGTTACACGGTAGCCAGCTACCAGCTGTTCGGCTCGACCGTTATACAGCGGCTAGCTGGGCACTTGGCCAGAGGAGCAGCTGTTCGGCTCGGCCTTTATACAGTGGCCAGTTGGTCCTGGCCAGCGGCGCATGCCGGCATGTGGCGGCCGTGTCATAGTGTTTCACGACACGACAGATAGCCCTCCACGGTCCCCCTCGGCGCAAAGGTCAGAGGCAAACTCATCCGTCGAGTTGAGCATTACCTAAGGCAAACAGCACACATGCCAGAGACTGCAGCAAAATAAAATGCACAAAAACACGCAACCACAAACCACGTATAATCAACAGTAACGGTGATCAACAGTAACGGTCATGGTCTACGTAACGCGGGCTTTGTGGGATATTTCCAGCATAATATATTCGATTTCTGGGTAGTAGCAGAGGCCGGCAGTTTTCTGCATCGTAATCGCCAATCGTCGCGTAATATATGACCTCGCCAAGTGCTCTGATAAAATCGCCAGTTTGGCAACTTTCGTCCACACTGGCAACCCTGGACCGGTCCCATCCAAGGTTGCGTGTTCTTCAACGAGTTGCATTGCATCCCCGCCTCCATGTAAGTACATCGTCCGAGAGGACTTTCACATGCTACATCATGCATGCATGCACGTACAAATTACATGGGTGCCTTATATTAACAAGACCATAAAAAGCTTAACAGACGTCATCCACACCATCACCATCACCTGCAATCT